CTAATTTGCCGTCACTTTTTCTAAAAACATTAAGTTTGGTCCTCGACTCCGTCCCAGAGTTTCATTTCGGCCCCGTGTGCGTTTGAATTTGACACCCCTGTTGTAGATAGTTAACGCTCAGTTCATTTTTTCTATGTGCCAAGACGTTTCACTTCAGTAGAATGACAAAGGTGTGCACAAGTGACATTAATCTACTGCAGGAAACCACATACTAACCAGATAATGTTTCGGGTATTGTCCTGTCTCCTACCAAGGAGTCTTGGTTTATTGGTGGCTAAAAATGCTGATAGCATATACTGTGTGTAAACGATGGGCCTTGCCTTGGTAACATTACACATTGATTTGTGGTTTCCAAGTCTAGTTTTGCCCTTTTCTGCTTCTGTTTGGGTGGCATCCAAGTACTGGTACTGAAGTGATGATCTGAGGACACCACGCCCATGGGTCAGCTCACTTGTCACTTAGTCTGGCCCTGTCCACTCATGTATAACTCTCAAATCGGTGTACAAATCAAAAGGGACGTTTTTGTGAAAATTCACCCACAAATAAAGCGACAAATATGGCTAAGAGATCATTTTATGTTGTATTTATGTAGGATGCAGTAAACATGGTTAGTCCAGGGTAAATATTTCATCAAGCTAGTTGAAAATCAATTAAATTATAACTCTGCAAGCTTTACTTAGATTAGTGGTTCTCAAACATTTCTCATCATGCCTCCAGTTTGGGGGCCGGCCTCCCAACCGAATCAAAACGAGAAGGGTCAAGGGTTATTCAGTGACTTTTCTAGATCAGATGAATTGGCTTTTGGAGAAAATCGATTAATGGAGTTCATGTTTGTATTTATTTATTTTCAATCTCAACAGCTTATTCTTCACTATGGTCATGGGGAGCTGATGCCTAACTCCAGGAGTCAACCAGTGAGAGGCGGGGACACTCTGGATCCTCCATGTAAAAAGGCTATGTTATCCAGAGTTGTCTCTGTAGTTATGCTGCTATAGGCTTAGACTGCTGGAGGATACACTGACCACTTTCCACACTCTACTACTTTCTTCTACAATCTGCTCTTCAACTGTATTATTTCCTGCTATTTCAGCTGTTAACTTTATTTACTCTCTAAGTGTTTTTCTCCCCAGAAGAAGCTACAACGATGTTCTGCTGAGCTGTGGTGGCCTCATGGAGGGGGCCATCGTCTAGCACACTGCTGCTAACCACCTAAACATTCTCCCTCTCCTGATAATAACTTTTTGCTTTCCTTGAAGTTGGATGTGCTACTACTAGTTTATCCGTTTAATCATAGATTCACTAGGAAAAATACAATAAAGTTCATCTCTCGCCAAATAGAATATTTACTAAGAAATCACAATGTAACCATAGGCACATTGCTTGGTGTGTGTGTGTGTGTGTGTGTGTGTGTGTGTGTGTGTGTGTGTGTGTGTGTGTGTGTGTGTGTGTGTGTGTGTGTCTTCTCCATCCCCAGTGAGTCGTGGAGGATGGCTGCTTATACTGAGCCAGGATTCTCTCGAGGTTTCTTCCTGTTAAAAGGGAGTTTTCCTCTCCACTGTCGCTATATGCTTGCTTAGTATGCGGATTGCTGTATAGTCACTGAATCTAGTCAGTGACTTGATGTAATTTGCTGGGTTCCTTATATAGGAAACTTTTTACTTATAGGCTTAATGAACTGACCTGTATTGGAATGTTTATTATGTGAAGTGCCTTGAGACGACTCTTGTCGTGATTTGGCGCTATAGAGCTCCGGGAGTTGACGTCACTTCTCCCGGCATGCAACTGTTCAAATCGAAGCGGCGCCATATTGGCAGGTAGAAGCCGGCAGCTGGGCTATTTGTTATTGTCAGAAAACTCAGTCAGACAGGAAATATGGTAGATTCCTGTTGTGCCCCAGGATGCAGAACAGACGTGGACGAGATAAGGGATGAGCCATCTACAGGATTCCCCAAGATCCGGAGCGCTGCAAACGTTGGATCATTGTAATAAAACGCGTTAGTGACCGGGCTAAAATGAAACTGTGGGATCCCGAGAGTAAAGGTTTTCACTTATGCAGCGACCACTTCATATCAGGTACTTAAACCAACGTTTCCTCAACTGTGTATGGTATTTATTTTAAATGCTTTTATTACGATTCTTAGTGGGCTTCCTAAACTTATTTTGGCGTGGCTTTTTCTGTCTTATTACTCACAGCAACAAGTAAACGTCACGTAAAACGTTGCCTCGTGAGTTCTGCGTGCTGCCGTTTACGTGTTTTATGATTACAGCAATTAACCGGCTAAGCTGTATTTAATTTTTAAGCAATGGTTGATCAATTGTCAGATCACACATAAAAAGCACTTTGGATTGCTATTATCTGTCTCACCGAGACAGATCTCAGACAGATCCTTAGACGCTCCTGTCTGACATATTTATTTTATTCACGGAAAACAATCAGACTAGTGATTTCTCTTGGCGTTCAGTTTATATTCCAACAGCACAGCACTCTATTTAAACTTCTTACATGTAAATCTGTTATTTGTCCATCCATCCATCCATTTTCGTCCGCTTATCCGGAGTCGGGTCGCGGGGGCAGTAGCGTCGAGAGGCCCAGACTTCCCTCTCCCCAGCCGCCTGAGCCAGCTCCTCCGGGGGAATCCCAAGGGGTTCCCCGGCCAGGTCCGGTAAAGCCGGGCGTACACTGTGTGACTTTTTCACTTTTTTGAGCCGATTTTCCACTCGTGCGAGAATCCACGACATCGGGGCGAGTTTTGCGCCGAGCGGTCGTGTAGTGTACGGGGGTTACGAGAGGCGATTAACACCACGACACCAGCTGCCGATCAGCAGTCGTGAGCTCGCATGGACTTCTGGCGTGTTTAAAATTTCGCTCGTCCCTCGTGAGGGTATCGCACTGTTGAAGCAGCACTGTGAGCAGCTGCGACCCAAAAAGTATCAGAACCGCTCACGGTGCATGCGCAATCATGCATCAACGCCGCTCACCCGCTATTTCCCTAATAACACACGTTGTTCGTTTTTGTTTCTACATGTTTTTTTACTCACAAAGATTGTCAAGAAAGCGTGTTTGTCGTGTTCATGTCAAATTAAACTGATCACAAAACACAGATTAACTTTCTTTATTTTGTTTTCCTCATCCAACCCCCATAAATCCCTGTGTGTCCTCCTGCAGCACTCCCGAAGGACAACAGGCAAGACAAGACAAAAAAGTCTGACGTGTTGAGTAAAAACTGCTATTTTTAGCATATTTTTAGGTCCGACGTGTTGCTACCAGACGTACAGTGTGAGCAGTCAGGTCGCATGCGAGAACTGGGTCGTACAGTGTGAGCACATGACTCGTGAGATCTGCCCTGCGAGGAAGTCGTACAGTTTGAGCTGAAGCTGAGTGCTATGAGTGAAAAAGTCGCACAGTGTACGCCCGGCTTAAGAAGTCCGCTCCGACAGCTTCTGGCGTTTTTAAAAAGTATCCCAGGGGCACGGTAAGGGTTGGAGATGTTTAATCTGTTTAATTTCTGACTATATGAAATGATTAATTTGGTTTTAAAGTGTGAAGTAAACTCCGACGAAGTAAAATCCAAGCCGATGCCGTTCACGTACATGTTTACGATCCGTGTTTGTTTAGCTTCTTTTACCTGCCAATATGGCGTCTACTAACTGAGAGTCACGTGGGGTCCGGAGCTCTATATAAATAAAATTGAATTGAATTGGATCAGTTTCCAGTCAATCACAGCCAAAGAGACAAACAACCAGTCACACACTCGCATCAAATGTATTTCTTTACCCCCCCACCCCCCCACCCCCCACCCCCCCGGTGTCCTGTCTGGCTGTGAAACAAACAGAATTGATGTCTGAATGCTGGTGACAAGCCTTACAGATTTACTCTCAGGTGGAGCATCAAAGCGTCTGCTTTTAATGTTTAGTGTTGTTGTTTTTTGAATGCTTTTTATATCCGACCAGACACGGAGACAGAGGTGAAAGAGAAAGGAAGAGACAAAAGGAAGAGGTAGGTGTGTGTGTGTGTGGGGGGGGGGGTTCCACAAAAATAAACAATCAATAATGAACAATAGTTTGCTCCTAGACCTGCAGAAAGAGAAAAACACAACAATACAACATTAGCAAGCTATCACAGCGTCAACCTAATGAGGAAATTTAAAATCAACGTTGTTTTACTGAACAATCACGATAATAAATCACGTTGCCAACCACAGCCTTAAGACCAAGTCCATGAGCACCTTTGTGTGTACCCACGCTTGTATATGTAAGGTTTCTCCATAGGAGCGTCCAATAGAGAGTGTGAGCCCCCCCCCCCCAAAGATGTGTAGGAGATGGACGAAGCTCCATTTGCCTTAACTCACATTAAATTTAGTGTCTAATTAACCCTCCATTCATGTTTTTTGGGCTGTGTGAGGAAACCGGAGAAAAGCCACACATGCATGGGAAGAGCACACCAACTCCAACCCGTCATCTTCTCACTGCATGGCAACGGCGCTACTGTTGCGAGTCCCCACATGCCAAAGACAGTGGCAAGTTGAAACACACTGGACTGGCTTGTGCGAGCAAAATCAGCCAGAAGACAGGAGCTGGGCTGCAGGTCAAAAAACTGTGGTCAGAAACAAGGGTCACACAAGGGTCACAGGGACAAGAGGACAGAACTGGGCGAAAGGTCAAGAGACTGACCCAACCTCTTTGCCCCACCCCTGGCTTGGAAAGATGGGATTGGAGGAGAACAGAGTGAAGACAAGCCCATCAGATCCAGAAGCCCTCTCGGGAACATTGGAGAGAAACTGAAGAATGCTGCAAAAGATGATGTAATGACCTGTGTTAAGAAGAATGCTGCATGTAGTGAAAATGACACCAAATGTTTTGTGTTGAGCTACAAAGTGTGTATCTGGTAAATGACCGCATGACCTTAAGCTGGTCCAGGAAGGGTATATAAGAACAGCTCTGAACAGCAGAGAGGGATTGAGAGAGAGAGCTGGGGCAGGCGACAAGAAGAGACAGAGCAGATTTGGAGGGGTCATCCCCCGTCCAAACCTGGATGGGGGATGACAGGCGGATTTTTTTTTTTTAGTGACCAGCAACCATGCATCGAACCTCCCCCCTCTTCGATCATGTACCAGGTGCAAACACACACACACTCACACACTGTTGCCACCTCCCACCGCGACCCCCCACTGGACCAACTTAAACCACCTCTGTCTCTCGTTCTCCAGGCAAACTTTGACACCAACTTTGAGGACAGAAATGCTTTTGTGACCGGCATCGCCCGCTACATAGAGCAGGCCACAGTCCACTCCAGCATGGTGAGAAACCCATCACCGTTATTTCTACATCTCCTTGTTGAGTTGTTTTCATTCGTGCTCCCAAATTTAGCAGGTTTTGTTCCAGTTTCAGTGAGCACAAAGGCGACTGTGGGAAGCTGCCGCATCCTCGCTGAGGAAGCCTTGTTGAATTGATTTGGCCCAGCCTGTGCCAGGACACACACTCGTACACACACATTCCACTCACACAAGGGTGAATCAGGCAGACAGTGGGCCACTAAAGCTTTTTCCTTGCCTGTGAATGAATGGAGAGTGTGATTTGACTCGTAAAGAGGAGGTGTAGGGCTTTCATTAACCCTATTTACCAGGAAGTGCAACCGGGGTTAAAGTCGGTCTGTTTGAGAGCTCTACCTAGTTCTAAGAGGAAGCTATCTAACCCTGCTAAAATGTTCATCACGTCTGGGAACAAGTGACTCACCTCACGTTTCAGTGGTCTGTGCTCACTGGTGGCTTTGCAAACAGTGCAACTGTTTAACAGTTGCATCTTAGGTTTTTGTCCAATTTTGCATTAAGAATGGAAAAAAATGTGTGTTTCTGCAGAATGAAATGCTGGAGGAAGGACACGAGTATGCTGTGATGCTTTACACATGGAGGAGCTGCTCCAGAGCCATTCCACAGGTTCACACGAACACACCGTTGTCCTTTCTACACACACTCCAGCAGGGGTCTTCTCAGAGGTGTCACACGACTTTACCTCAAGTCAGCTTAAGACTCGACTTGAAGACATCACTAAAGACTTTAGGGCTCTACTGACGCTTAACAGCGGTGAATCTAGACTTCACCTGGACTTGAGTGTGGTGATCGTGAAGAGTTTATATCTCACACATGGAGAAAATATAATATTTTTCTGACTGCTTAATGGACTTTTTAAGAAGCATTCTTAATGTCTTGAATTTATTTGTAATTGCTCTGTAAATAAAGTGCAATCTCACCAGACATCCAGCTTTCACTGGAGCAGTTGGCGGCCAAGTGTGGAGCAGCCAGGAAGCGAGTCTGCTCGTCCAAATCCCAGACAGAGAAGGGTAGAATCCCTTCTCTGGATTAGAGACGTGATTCTGCCACAAGTGAAGGAGTTAAAGTGTCTTGAGGTCTTGTTCACGATCAACAGGCGGATTGGTGCTGCATCTGCAGTGATGCGGGTGTTGTACTGGTCTGACGAGGTAAAGAGAGCTGATCAGGAAGGCAAAGCTCTTGATGTACCGTTTGATCTACGTTTCGACCGTCGCCTGTGGTCACGAGCTTTGGGTAGTGACAAAACAATGATGTTGGGGATACAAGCAGCAGAAATATGTTTTCTCTGCAGGGTGGCTGGGCTCGCCCTTCGAGATGGGGTGAGAAGCTTTGCCATCCGGGAGGGGCATGGAGTAGACCTGCTGCTCCTCCACATCAACAAGAGCCAGTTGAGGTGGGGCGGGCATCTGGTCACGACGCCTCCCTGGTGAGGTTTTCTGGGCACGTCCAACCGGGAGGAGACCCAAAGGAAGACCCCGGACACGCTGGAGCGACTACGTCTCTTGGCTGACCAGGGAACGTCTTTAGACTCCCCTGGAGGAGCCTGCCTAAATGGCTGGGGAGGAGGAAGTCTGGGCCACCCTGTTTAGGCTGCTGCCCTGTGACCTGACCTCGGAAAAGCGGACAATAATGGATGGATGGACTTAAAGCTTAGGACAATGGTTTTACTTCAGACAGATGTCCCGGGACTAGACTTGACTCTGGATTTTTGTTTCTTATTAAGACTTCAGTAAAATAAATGTAGACTTGAAGGTGACAGTGACTTGGTCCCACCTCAGGTTATTTATGGTCTTGATCATCAAACTAAGGATGACATCCAGTAAACCATCATTACTAGGGGTTTGGAAGTGATCAGGTTTTATCAGTATCAATGCCATTGTTGATTCTGTCTATCATTCCAGACCCTTATCGATTCCCTTATCGATTCTTGATTAATTCAATAGGTGGCAAAAAATTAACTGCGCATGGTCTCCTGCATTATAACTCAGTTTATCAGTGATAAATATGGTATCGTTTGGAAAGGTCTTTACAAATGTTCTCTTCGATGCTCCTTGGGAAGTGAGTCATCTTCTTGTACGGTGTAGTGTTGCCGTAGCTTCTGCAAACTGGGCAAAATCTTACCACAGGTCTGACTTTAGTCGCTGGAGTCTGCTAGTGTGAAGGTGTCTAGAATGACACTAACATGAAAGGCAGCGTGAGTCGATTCGTTACCTGCAGTATTAGCAGGAGAGAACGTGGAAACGCCACCGCTGCTGCATTGGACTTCACTAGTCCGGAGCGGATCAAAAGCACAACGTTCGCTTTGAAGTTATCAAGGATTTTGTGCGCAAACGCTTTTGCGTATTTGTAGTGTTTCCTCCCTTTGATGAAATATCTACTTTGCAAGTATTGCAACTGGCCCTGTTGTCATCCTTTCTCGTAAAGTATAATCAAACTTTCAAGTGTTTGTGCCGCTCAGGCACCATGTTTCCTGCTGAGGAAATGCGTAAGCTATGCAACGTAGCTTGTGTAAGCTGCGAAATGTGCGTGGTGATGCCATGGAATTGATCAGGGAATCGTTTGCAAAAATGGCAAACTAGGAGTCGAAACACTGGGAACTGGTTCTCAACAAGAACTGGTTTTTGATTCTGACCCCAGTTGTTAAGTTTTCTTGCAAAATGTAATTGTTTTTAGGGCTTTTGTAAGTGGTAGAGGTTCTTTAGCACGACATGTGGGTGTTTACCTAATGAACTGGGCCTTGAACCTTGACACGACTGTCTCGCACTGTCTAGGGCGTGGTTATCATGTTTACCTTCAATCGGCTGCCTTCATTTGGTTTAGAGTGTGAGCTGAGCTCCTGTCAGGCTGTATGTGATGGCGCCATCTTGTGTCTGTTAGGTGAAATGCAACGAGCAGCCCAACAGGGTGGAGATCTATGAGAAGACAGTGGAGGTGCTGGAGCCTGAAGTGACCAAGCTCATGAAGTTCATGTACTTCCAGGTGAGTCTGAGCATTTAGTTTGTGACAAGAAAATCCAGGAAAGTCGGGGTGAGGTGAAAGATAAAATTGGATGAGATGATTGTGGCCGATGTTTCCAAGTCTAGTTGACATTTGTATTGATGACGTTGTCAGTGTCAGTTTAATATTTGTTATTTTTTTAGCGTAAGGCCATAGAACGTTTCTGCAGTGAGGTGAAG